ATTATAATATACAGTTTTGATACCGAACTTAATGACATAAATTCATAAAACAGTAGTTCAATAAAATTTTGAATGCGAGTCAACAAATGCAATGACATGGCCTTTGACCTGTGACCCGTGTGGAAAGGCTTAATCCCTAAATATCATCTTTGCAAGTGGATTTTAATGTAAAATATAAAGAAAGTCTTAAAAATATAAATTTGATCAAATAGCCTGATTTTTTAAGCTATTGATAGCTTTGTGAAAGAAAGTTGCTTGAATTTACTTAACGCTACTCTATTCTTTTGTAGCAAACCTTATATTAAGATATTCTTTGATAGATTGTTTAGACAGAGTATTCCTAATGAGGATACCTGAATGGATGGTAACTGCCTATTGTAAAAACACAAGTGTACAGGACGAGTTTAGAAAGTTTTCTGTCTTCAGGCCAGTGTGTGTTAGCTATTGCAGATCTTTATAGTATCCTGGTGGATTGTGGAGGATGTGTTGTGACTGATTTGTTTATCCCTTGTTCTGATTGGTAGAAAGACTGTACGTGATTTCAACCAATGGTAATCATAGGTTGCTCACCTCTGTTTAGTGAAGGCTTTGTGTTAATATGAAATGATTCTTTAATTTTTTTGTCTTCCAAAATTGTCTGTGTCGATGATTGTAGCTTTTTCCAAGTATATTTTGTATCCAGTTGATATGGTGTGTTCTGCAATGGCTGAATTTTGTTTTTTCACGAGTCTTGTACTGCCTTTGTATTCTTTTATTTTTTGTCTGGATTCCTCTTTATGTTTCTCCAATGTATGTTTCACTGCAGAAGCATGGGATTTCATTGATGACGTTTTCGTGTTTTTCATTAGCATATTTCTGTTTTATTTTCACTAGAATGGATCTTATTGTCTTGTAAGATTTCCATCATACGTCTATATTGAATTTATTGGATATGCATTTGAATTTTTTAGTGAAATTTTGCGTGTAGGGGAGGTAAATAGTGGTAGTGGTATTCTTATCTTTTCTTTCTGTTGTGGTCTTTAGGAGTTTTTGATGAAAGTAGTTGTGTAATCATTCTGCTTAAAACACTGATATTTTTGTGTTCTGTTTTGATGGATGTCTCACTGCAAATTTTTTTCTGCTCTCTTGTTTAGGCATTGGATTATACCACATTTTACCAAGGTTGGATGATAGGACTGGATATTTAGGGTATCTGTCAGTGTGTGATGGTTTTCTGTATACAATTGTGGCGATTTTCCTCTCTCATCTGCCAATGTGTATGTCAAAAAACGATAGGTGTTTTGTTCCTCTATTTCTATAGTGAAGTGGATTCTGTTCTCTGTAGAATTAAGATGTTCTAGGAAGGCTGGTCAGGTTTCACGACTGTGGGGCCTTGATAAAAAGGTGTAATCAACATAGCATATGCAGAAACTTGCAGAGCTCTTTCTTCGAAGTCTTCCGTGAGATTTTCTGCTAAGTCTGGTGATCCTATGGCTAAACCATCTGTTTGTTCATAGAATTACTTGCTGTATTGGAAGTAATTTGACTGTAGGCAAGTAGTCATTAGTTCCATGTTAATGTCTATCTTCATGTCAGTTCTGTATGGTACAGTTGTCGTTCAACAGTCATTGTCTAGTGATATGAAGGGCTTCTGAGGTTGAAACATTGGTAAATATGTCTGCGACATCAAACTGACAAGAATATCTTGGAGTCTGATGTGTAGCTTTCTAAGTTGTTCTACAAAATCTTTCGAGTTGTGAACTGCACAGTGGAGATAGGATAGGTACTAAAAGGTAGCTAGTTGACAGTAAGGTGAGTATAGCACTGAGAACAGGTCTAAAAGGTATATTAGATTTGTATACTTTAGGTAGTCCATAAAACTGAGAGGGAAAGCTGTCACTGGTTCTTTGGCTAGATTTTTAGTGATTAAGTTTTGGTTTTTGAGTTTGTTCAGTGTTCTATTGATACATACTGGATTGTGATGCTAGTAATGTCGGAATTGGAGGAGTGTTGTTTCAGAAAGTGGGCGAAAACGAACATGTGGTGGCCTACTTCAGTAGGGTTCTGAATAGACCAGAGAGGAACTACTGTGTAACACGGAGGGAACTCCTTGCTATAGTAAAGAGTCTGACATATTTCCATCCTTATCTATATAGTGCAAGGTTTACTATCAGGACACACCATG